GGGGGGGGGGGGGGGGGGGGGGGGGGGGGGGGGGGGGGGGGGGGGGGGGGGGGGGGGGGGGGGGGGGGGGGGGGGGGGTCGGCGGAAAGCGGAAGGTATCCAACACTAGGGGGTACGGCAACTAGAGCTAGGGGAACCGACCGCGGGAAAAGGAGGTCGACAGGGAACAGTCTCTATCGCAAATGGACAAATACCCCGGAGGTGATGATGGTGTCTTCCATGTTAACCGAAGAGAAATCTGCGCGGCACGGCATGTCACAACAATTTAGAAATCCGAGGTTTTGTGCGTGCCTGATTTCGTTCGTCCGACCGCACGCGATCGCGTCGCACTGGGGGCGCGCGGATCAATGCACATGCATGCAAACACGGTCGTTGTATGCCATCAGGATAGGGATAGTGACCTGTGGATCAAGAGGTAATTCTGGTGCGCCGCCGTTCGGCGCGCAGATGAGATCAACACATGCACACTGCTGTGTTGGCCATGCCAAATGCTTCTCGCGCGAAGGTCTTCGGGAGCGAAGAACACCATTCCACAACAAGGGTACGAAGTGTTCGTTACCATCAAAACGACAACGAAGGTACACCGCGGTATGTTAGGCTCCATGTATGCCGACCTCTCCCCGACCAATCGGAGCATTCAAAACAACACATCAGTCAGATTGAAAAAAAACTCCAAACCGGTTTCCCGGCGAGGTAGAAATATTTCCACTATTCAGGTGCTTGTAGTGAATCAAGCAAACAGTCCGGTGTGATGTCGCTTGAAGAAACTTGCAGCAAAATCTACACGCCGCAAGATAACGCGACATATTCCTGTGGAAGAAGCTGTATTAATATGAGTAGTAGCACACAACACGACTGAAGGTTCTGTGTTTGAACCATTTGAGGGTTGTGCGCAAAGCCTTAAGACTCTTGTTGCTGTTGTCTTCATATTAAAAACCGTTCCGTTCTCTCTGCCCAGTACCTTCTTCTGTCCGTACTAGTGTAACACTTGACGGGGTCGATCCCCGTGGTAACAGGCTAACTTAACCGAAAAAAAGGCACACGAAATTAACACGGACCCGAAGGGTCCGCACGCCAACAAAGTTCAACGACAGATAGTCTAGGCCACTCCGCTCGCCTCTGCTCTACACGCTATGCGGGGTAACCCTAGATTGAAAAAAGGTATGAAAAAGAAAGGACGAAAAAAGAACATCGTAGGCGGTAGATATACTTCCACCATCCTATTATTGTCCTGACTGGCGTCACTTACACAGTCCCTCGCTCTCAATGGTTCAAGGCTTCAAACAGAACTCAACGGCAAGCACAAGGCGTCGCGCTCCCAGGTGTTCACCCAACCGTTCCGAACCTCGTACTTGTGAATTACCTTGTGCACCACGTGCCGGAGCTGTCTTTACCGAAGAAGCTCGAACGGGTGGTCTCTCTGTGGCATTGCCTACATTGTCTAAAACTCACAATTACAGCCTTCCTCCCGTGTTGCGGGGTGACTCAATACACGGCGGTGGTTGAACACTGCTGTAGCACGCCAACGGCACCACGTAGTCTAATGTATTTAACAGACAGCAGATATTCTTCCCGCACCTACGACAGCTTTGCTAGGATGTGCCTCGTACAAGGGCTGTTGAGGGTTCAGACAGACACACATACAGGTTGTACAGGTGCACTACAAAAGTACACAAAGTGGGGGCGTGGCGGGTTGGACAACACCTTCTCCTACCGTTTGAAGACTTTCTGGCAGCGCAAAAACAGAAAATCTTGTGCTAGCTCGACGAACTGATCGCAACTCGTGTTAACTGCAACTGGAGGAGGAAGGGGCACGCGAGAGGAGGACGCAAACACGACAAAATACTTCCGGACTTGCACAAATATACGGTCTCTGTGGCAACCATCTCACGTATGCCAACAAGTCTTCTTGAACTCTAGAGGAGGAGCCGGGCAGAATTGCACATATGACGGCATGAGGGCCAAGACTCACCAGCGGGGACTACGAAAGCTTCAGCATGGTCGACCAGCAGCAGGCAGGAGATGAGCGCCGTTCGCGCCATCATGTTCTGCCGCGACCCATTACCCACCAGACCATCACACCAACCAGAGGCGGTTTCGTCATAGGCAACATGAAAGAAGAAAGCAGGAACAGCAGAGAGTCACACAGACAGGAGTACCGGATCGGGCGAAGAATGAGAAAATGTTGCGTGACACGTCGTGATCTACATAACACTGCTGATGTCTTGTTAAGTCGTTGTCCGGCACACGCGGGATGCCGACAGCACCCCGGGGTGATCAGCCGCGAACGCAGAAAGAGGCAATAAACACGTCAGGGCAGCACCACCGATGCAACAGGCATCGAGCACCAACTCGGACACCGACGCAACTGGTGGCAGACCATCCAGGGTTCCCGCCACAACGCCATATGGGACCACCAGAGCAGGAAAAGACGAGTCTCCTCCTGCGAGTTCGGAGCTGTAAACTACACTACGGATGTAGCCCGCAGCTGCTGGGTTGGGACAAAGGGAAGCAAACATGAACGCAATTTTTTGGGTACATACGTTTACGTTGTCGTGAAGGTTCGAGAAACTTGGTTTACCAGCTCCCCAAACCTTCACTCTCTGATAGCAGAGAGCTTCGTCCTAGTGCAGTCGATGCTCGTGTAACTCACCGGCACTTCGGGTACCTTCTGCGCCGAGTCAGTCGGGTGTGTCTACTCGAGCGTGGCTGTGTCTCTCAACACCGGGGGTCCTCCTACTAAGAACATGTAATTCGCATATACCCTAACTATCCTCATCTCCGGCCCCCTGTGTGCCGCTCTCTGGTCTCTGGCGGCTCCGCACAGCACAGAGTTGACAGCACTGTAGTGCTCGAGTCGTGTCCCTGTGTCTTGCTATCTCGCCAGCCGTAGTGTGAACGTCGCTGGCTGTGGCTGTGCGGTCCCAGCCATACAATGGCGAACCCTGGTAAACGCCGCCGGGGTGGTTCTGGCACTGTCGGTGTCCCAGCAGAGAAACACCGAGCGAGCACGATGACAATGACAACAGCCACCACAGTAGCGACAACGTCACGCCTACTATCACCGCCAACATCGGAAGCAACGACACCCATCCAACATAGCAACAGCGGTATGGAGGTGAGCACTGAGAAAACGAGCCACAAGAAGAAGAGGAAGAGCAAGCGGAAGCGGCAACAGCAAGAACGCGACACCAGCAGCATCCCAGATGCATCTCGACAGTCCCGTGGTAGCAGTTCGTCCTCGACACGACCACCACCACCACCACCACCACCACCACCAACAACAACAACAACAACAACTTCAAAGAAACACTCGCGGATCAAGGAAAAGCCAGCCCGGTTCGTCCACCCTCATCTCGATGCAGAGCTCCGCCGGCTTGGCCGCTCCTGGTTGTCCCCAGGCGACCCCTTGTTCAAGCCCGCCCTGGACCGTAGCTACAGGGGGGTGAGGCACGAGCCGGGGGGGTCTCTCCCGCAAGCGGTCCACAGGGGCTTCCGGCAATCGTTCGACAGCCTCCACGAGGCCGGCCTCTTCCTGTACGACACGGTCCAGGCCGGGGGCAAGCGGCTGAGCCGGACGTTCGTGACCAGGACCCTTGTTGGGGACGCGGGCATCACCTACAAGGTTCATTTGTGTACCTTAGTTTGCTGCCTCACCGTATCAGCATTACAATGAGAGATGGGATGGAATAACCCCTGTAGACCGATTTTAAAAACTCGATTACTCCACAACCAAGCTTGTGTGCCAGCACCCAAAATGTTTGTTGTGAAAAAATCTCGAGGGCGTTGCGCAGGCGCATGGGGCTCATACCCGCACCCACGAGCAATCGAGCTTTGAAAGCCGATCGTGGCGGGTGGGGGCATCTCGCGCATCCTTACGGTAGCCTTCGTGCCATGGTTTCTTTTCCCCCAGCATCGCATTTTGGTCTCTCGCGACGGCCGTGCCCTGTCTCATGTCGCCTTTCTCTCCCCGCCAACGTTTTTGCCATCTCGCAACAACAAACAGTACCTGGGGCTCCGGTTGTTCGCCCACCCGTGGGGGCTAGGGGAGAGCGACTTCCGAAAGGGGCCAGGCGACAGCTTGGCGGACGCGCTGAATGACCCGTGCCTCGCAGACCTCTTCTCCAACGATGGTAGCGGTTTCGATGACAACGACAGGGTCGCTGACACCCTGAGAAAAGTCGGCGACCTGAGCGAGTGGATGCGTCTCCGCGCCGGCGCTATGCTAAAGGAGGAAGTCGGGGAAGCGGGAGGGGAGCGGGGGAGCTGCGCGTTCAACCTGACCTTGATCAACCGGATGGAGTGCTCGGGGGCGAAGAGAGATCTCAAGCCGGACCCCCTGTTTTCCATGGGAAAGTTCTCCGTCAGCTGGCACGCCGACAGCTGCCTGCAGGACTTCTCCACCATAGGTGAGGAGCAAACCGCGTTGGTGGTGCTTGTTGAGCAGTCTGTGCCTGTTTCTATCTGATTTTGTTTCAATGTTTGAGAAGCGTGGGTGTGCATGGTACCGGCTGGTATGCCAGGAGCTTATCCTGAAGCCGCTGTACTTGGCCCTTCTATCATCCTCTGGAGTGTCACAGGTGCCCTCATCAAACCCAACACTCCTGTTGCACTCGAAATCATTCATCATCCTTCAGTGCACGCTTCGTCTCTCTTGGGGGCTGTTTTCGCCGACTCTCTTGCGCCGTCCCCCTCCTTTCGCTGCAGGCGTGTATCACTGCACAGACCCCGTCCCGGCAGAGCCTGACTGGGGCATAGCGCTCCGCGTGTCCACAGAGGCAAGAGTTGGTGGCGGCGGCGGTGGCAGTGGCGATGGTGATGGTTATGGCGTGAGCAACGTAGAGAAGACGAGGAGAAAGGAAGCAGAGAGGGGGGTGAAACCGGCGGGGCCGAAGGCAATAGCATCAGTCGCAGCGTCAGCGGCGGGGGCTGTACCGGAGAAGCAGGGGGAGCAAGTCTTGACGCCACCGCTGCTGATCCCTCTTCAGAGCGGCGACGCGTACTTCCTCCTCGACGACTTCAAGTAAGGGAGGAGTGAGAGTTTTGTGTTTTTACCGCTCGATACTGCTGTCTCAAATCCTGCAGCCTTTGGGTAGTTTCCCCTGCGCTGCCGTGTTGTTGGAGTTTTTGAGGTTGAGAGAAGGTGCAGGCCTGCCCCACTCCTCCATACCTTGTCAAGCGCTCTCCAGCACCAGCCTATTCCCGAGGAGCTGCACGGGGCTCCAAGGGCCCCGCCCAACACCCACCCACACGCTTTGCACACAAGTGCTGAGATATTCCAGAGCCGTTCGAGTACGTACGTTGTCGGCAGATTTCCCTCTTCCGTATGCGCTGTACATACGCACCTGCGACGCTCCACCAAAGGGCTGACCTTTGGCTTGGTATGCATCCGTTTTCTCTGTTTCGGCCGCCTATCCCGGGGGGAAACCTTGGACTGGCGGCAGTCACTTCCACGAGCACGCGGTCGTGTCGGGATCGTCCACCCTTCGATATTCGTCTACACATCGCGTTGCGGACACCGACGGAAACACGTTCTCGCACGTGCAGAAGCGCTGCGAACGGGCGCTCGCCGGCGGGGGCTCCGCGGCGGCGGGAGGAGATTATCATATCTTGAACCTTGCTCAGGTACACCCTCTCCGCGGCGTGTGCCGTTTGGCTATCTTCTCCGCGCGGCGTGTGGCGTTTGGATAATCAGCGGCGTTCTGTCCCTCGCTCAACTTTGTTTGACCACGGACGCGCCATGTACGTCGTCGGTAGAATGTGGCTCTTGTCTGATGAGTTTGTGAGGGCGAAAGCGAACGCTAATTACATCCGGGGGTGATGAATACTCCCCCTCGTCGACAGCAGCGTTGTGTCGAGGTTCGTTTTGACCACAAGTGCTACTGTAGTCTACATATTGGCAGGGAGTTATTCTGTTGTTGGAGGTGCAACGCACAGTTGTGCGATCGTTGGTACTTCATCGATGTGCCGCAACCGGTTTCAAGTGGCAGACACTCGTCACCCTCCTCCTCCCACCTCCGTCCCATCGTTGTATCGCTGCTCAGGTGTAGCCTGAGCGGATAAACCCTGTCGTTGATCGCCGTGGTTGACCGTGGGCTCCCGTCATGCCTCTTTGAGCACCTCACCAGGCTGTACACACGGCAGTGCGCCCCCCCCCCACCAAAACAACGCTCATTGTTTCCGATCAATCCCGTCCTCGTCATGCCCAACGTCGCCGCTTGTTTTTGGTTCTCAGGTCCGTGCGGAACAGGCGCTTCTGACGGAGCTGGAGTCGGAATGGCTGAACCAGTTCTGGGTGCAGGGGAGGAGACACGCCTCCCTCCACCCGTGGTGGCGGGGCCCGATGGCGCTGGTGCTTGCAACGTGGCGAGAGCTCGAGCGACGGACGGCCTTGACGGTGCGACGCCTAATGTCCCTCCGAGGACAGGGTGGGGGCGAAGGTGTCGGACCTGGCGGCGGCGGGACAGCAGCAGAAACAGCAGGAGCGGAACCGGCAGCGATAGCGAAGGCGTTCGAGACGGTGCTACGGGCCCTGGAGGTGCGGCGAGAGTCGAGGTCGAGGTGGGGGGCGAGGTTCGCAGACTCGGCGTACCGCTCGCTCGCCGCCGACCTCGCTCCCGTGGTACCGGCGCTGTGGCCCGCCGAGGGAAGCAGCGGCGGCGACGTTGGTGAGGAGGGTTCGCCTCTGCTGCTGCCCCAGTCTCTGGGCGGGATTGTCTCGCGACTGAGGGAGTGCTACACCGTGGTTTATCGGGCCGCTTCCGGCGGCAAGAAGGCCGGGTCGGCGAAGGCCATCGCCGCCGGCGCCGCGTCGAACTGGGAGTTGTTTCGGGCCGCTTCTTCTTCTTCTTCTTCCGGTGGTGGCGGTGCCGGGAAAAAACACGGCAGTGCTCTTGGGAAGCAGCAGCAGCAGCAGCAGCAGCAGCAGCAGCAGCAGCGGAAGATGCGGGGTCTTGCTGGCCAAGATGGCCTAGAAAAGACGAAGAAGCGTGCTGGGGGCGTCGTGAAGGGCGGCGGCGATGGGGGGGGAGGGCGAACGTTGAAGGGGCAGGGATCAAGAAGAAAGGACCGCGTACGAGAACGGTAGAAAACCGTTTCGGTTTCGCAGTCATCGCCCTGGTGGTCGTGGTGGTCGGTAAACTTTGAGAACGATGACCGGCTACGTTGAATGACCTCAGGAATAGTGGAAGCACTCGTTCGATACCCCAAGTCGGAGGATAGAAGCTAGAAACTTGTTCGCTGCAAGGTGAGGGCCCGCACCTCAAAGGTGGTGTTCTGTGTGGCAAGGGTCCCGAGATCTTTGGTTGAGGAGAGGGGCCCTATTTCGAGCAGGTAGAACGTGTAAGCGACGGCTAAAAGTTGGGATGACGAAGCAACCTCGTTCTAATTGAACTGTCCCACTCTGCTGGGGGGGGCTCCGTAAATTTGTCTACACGGTTCTCCATCAAAGAAGGCGTCCGGCTCCAGGGACTGCCGTCGATTTGCATTGTTGCGGACGTAGCGCGTACCCAGCAGGAGACTGCTGCTGTGTATCTCTCAGCCTTTTTGCGTGTGCGAGGACATGCGTGGCGTCCCTCGCCATGTTGTCCTCGTTGATTTCTCTTTTCTGCTGGTCCTTTGAGGTTTTCCAGCGATGATGGTGGTGCTAGCGGATTCGTTTTTCCTTACAGCAGCGGCAGCGGCAGGGTCGCTGGCAGTGACGACGTCGTGTACGAGCGACAACGCGTATGTGAGAGAGGAAGGAGCCAGAGGAATACGTGGGTGTTCCCTAAGCCACAGTTCGACACTGACTGCTGTCTGTGTGCTCCTGTATCCTACACTCACGCTGCTGTGTGCCTACGGTTGTTGCTGCTGGCCCCACACACTGGATGGGAAAAATAAGTAAATTGGGGAAGCAGCCGTGGGCACACGGCAATCTGTTTGAGAGAAAGGAGTGAGAGGGATGTTGAAGCGGGGGGGGGGGGGGGGGGGGGGGGTG